GTGGGGGGGGGGGGGGGGGCTCTCTCTCTGCGGCGGTGGATGGTGGGGCAGGCGCGAATTATATATGAATCGCGATTATGCAGGAAGTGGCATCCTTTGTGCTACTGCTTACTGCTTTGACCTTTCGCCGCACGAGAGCGACACATTTTAGTCGTGGACGTAGCTCTTATTGTTTGTCTCAATCACTCAGCGCACAACTCGCTCAAAGTTATTTGTGTTGACCCGACACACGTAGAGATCACATACGAACGTCGAGAGGGGGAGGCCAGAGTCCCTCGCCCCGAGCGTCCCGAGGACATGGTTTGCTGACGCTGTGTGCGCGCGATGGTATGCTCTCAGTCGTCCTCGTCCTCACCAGTGTTGCCCTTGTACTTGGCGAGGAGCTCCTTCTCCACGTTGGGCGGAACCACCTCGTACGAGTCGAGCTCCATCGAATAGGAGGCGCGGCCCTTGGTGAGCGAGCGCAGCGAGGAGACGTACTGGAACATGTTGGCGAGCGGCACCTTCGCGCGAACCACCTTCATGTTGCCGCGGTCGGCAAGCTCGGCCACCATGCCGCGGCGCGAGTTGATGTCGCCGATCACCTCTCCCATCGACTCCTCGGGAGTCGTCACCTCAACCTTCATGTTCGGCTCCATCAACTTCGCGCCCGCCTCGCGCAAGCCCTTGCGCGCGGCGGCGCGGCCGGCGATCTCGAAAGCCATCACCGACGAGTCAACGTCGTGGAAAGCGCCGTCGAGCAGCGTTGCCTTGCAGCCGATGACGGGGAAGCCGGCGAGCACGCCGTTCGTCATCACTGACTCGAGACCCTTGGCGACGCCCGGGATGTACTCCTTGGGCACGGCGCCGCCCTTGATCTCCTGCGCAAACTCAAAGCCCGACGCGCCCTCCTCGCCGTCGAGCGGCTCGAACTTGACCTTGATCTTGGCGAACTGGCCACTTCCACCCGACTGCTTCTTGTGCGTGTGCTCAATCTCGCACGGGCGCGAGATCGCCTCGCGATAGGCAACCTGCGGCGGGCCGATGTCGCACTCGACCGTGGACTTATCTCCTTTTGTCAGGTCTGTAATTAGACACAC